GCTCCTTAATATGATACTCAGTGTCTCTCCTGCTGTGCTTTTTGAGTCTATGGGATACAAGAGTATATAATTTTTCAACATAATTAGTATAGCCTCTTTAACTATAAATGAAGAAATGCTGTATTTCAAAATGTGGTCAAATGTGTTCAAGAGTCTTAACACTGTAAAACTACATCATTGCTGCTTGCTCAAGCAACCCCACATTTCTGCTTCAGTTTTCCTACATTCTGTGGTTTTAATTAATGTTGCCTTTATAAGAAGTAGAAACAAAACACCAGCATTTGTATCAATAAAATGTTTTCATTGACATGTTGTTTCAAGAATACTTTACAAATATATTCTTGTGTTTATATTCAAAAATTCTTCTAAGATGAAAACGTTACATTGTAGTCCTTGAAGGCAGGCTCCTGTATACTCCAAAATCACCAACACTTCAAAGCAGGAGAGAAGAAAATGCTAAATGATAAGAAAATGGAGATAGTCACAGGACTTTATTTCGAACTGCAGATGGCGCAGTACCCTATGTCAATCTTCTCTTCAGTTTTAGCATACTATCTGGAATAAAGTGAATTGCCGAAGCACAGGGAAATACAAATACGAGTCCTGCATGACCCAGATCACTTTGAAGTAGCAAATCACCGTGAAGCATTCTTTTTACTTGTTAGTGTGTAAGGAAACAATCTTTTATATACATGTTGAAGGTGTAGTTATTAGATACAGACACCTTTTGCCCTGGAATTAAAGAAAGATACACAGTCTGACACTGCTCTCTGCTGCTGTTGCCTTCCCTGCCCTTTGTTTACTTTTGAAAGTAATTCTTTTCAAAAAGAATTGAATTTGCCACATGAAAGTCACAATGTAATTCACAATGTAAGTTTTTTTTTCCATATAGAAAATAGAAGCATTTGATATACAGATACTTTTAAAAGAGCTTTGAGTCTGAAGTTTGAGATACAGACAGACATGCGGGTCAGCATGTCTGTCACATTACAAATCTATCAGCTGAATTCAGATTCAAGTTTCATATTTATCCTTTTATAATTGCTGAGGAAAACAGACCAAACTCTGGAAAGTTCTGAAGTACAGCTTCCTGGTACTTCTACTCGGACGTTCATGGATTGTTTCCTTCTCTCGTATAAGCATAAAGCCACCAACCACTGTACAGACTAAATTTAGGAAGGATACCCAGCCATCAGACATTGCATGACAAATCTCATAACACTGCTTGTACAGGTTAGAAAGATAACTTCAGTTACCATTCTGGGCCAGAAGCCGACATTAAATACTATTTTAAAATATATTTTTTTGTAATAAAACACTCTTATTTTGTAAGCTAAATTTTTATATGAGGTGTCTCTCACTTGCTGTATTAAATGTTACTGGAAATAACAAGGCAATAGTTTTCTGACACTAACTTTGATGGTTTTGTGGCCTCAGCCATGAAGTTATGTTATTTTATGAGCTTCACAATAGGGACTACTTTCCATAATCTCATAAACTGTCTTTAAATAGCTGCAAATTACTGTTTACATGGAGAAAAACCTCTGAAACTACAGCTGTTACCTAATTATTCCCAGCAAGGTTCCTTAGCTGGTCTTTTGATCAAATGTGGCGTGTAACTTCCTGAGATGACAGTTTTATCAACCCAGCCTTCCAACAGTATGGAAAGCATGAGGAAGCATGATTTTATCTTGTTAGAGGTATCACTGCAGTTATGGTTTTGGTAGTAAAATGACATATATGTCTCTGATTTGACTCCAGCTCAGTAATTCAGCCTAAGGCATGTTCTTCAAATGACAGGAACACGTCCAATAAAGTTATTGTGCTTTTTATGGATAACGTTTGAAGAGAGATCTCATTAAAATCTATACTATAACTATAATCTTCCTCATTTGCTAGGTACACAAGCCAAAAATACATCTTTGTATAACCTGTACTATCTCACAGAACTACAGCAAAGGTGAAAGGCACACATATCCTATCTCTACAGCTTTATATCAGACCATCCTGGGATCATTTTACAAGCGTGTCCTGCTTAATAGGCATAAAGAAATCTCAGAACATTTACAAACTATACGCAAGATGACTTCAGGTTCATGTCTTAAACTAAACTAATTGTTCCACTGAGAAAAACTTAAGTATTTAACACGGTGCCCTGGTGAGCTAGAAGCTTAACACCAAACATTGAAATATCTAGAAATAAGTACTGGATGGTCACTACATACTGCTCACAGACACTTTGATGTGTTATACAACTAATCATGAGGTAGGTTTTCTTCAATAACCTGGAAAGTTAGTAAGAATGTTAGCAAAAGGGAAAAAAAAAAAAACAAAAAAACAGTGAACCAATGTGAGCTTGCTGTAAAACAGAAATAAAAACAAGCACACAGAAATAGTTTTTGTTCTATACCAAATGATCTTTCTGGAATAAAACTGAACCTGCTGTAATACAAGTCTGTAAATGTGAGCACAGGTTAAATTTCAGTTAAAAATAAAGGGGATTGAACCACAATACTCCCTTCTCATGTCACTCACATACAATTACATATTTGTACAGTTATCAGTTGATTTTACACAAACACCCATAGACCTACTAAGAAATGAACTGATTTCAGTCTCACTGGTTACTTGGCTTGGTGAGAGTCTTGCTTCTGTTTTCAGATGCCATATTACCATATGTTCTATGCATACCTAAAGAGGAATAAAATAGTTATAATAAAATATACAATTTTTTGTTTGCTTACAGCACTAAGAAAACTTAACAAATTCTAGTTATCATTTTTATTTTACTCTGGAGTAAAAATCACAGCTTTTTGATACTTAGTAAGGACTTGCATGAAATTCAAAGTGTGTAAGCACAACACGCAGGCAGTGTATGTCAGTTAAGTCTCACCGGTATAAAGCCAGAAAGGAAGTCCCCTATGCTTTCTCTGGATTTATTAAATGTAGCGTGATTTCAAATTTTCATCTAGATTTGCAGCAGTGCAAGCAAGTATAAAATGCTACCAAATCCACTGTAGTTTATTTTAAAAAGGCAGAGGCTTTCTTTTGTTCTTATGTATAGCAGCTCAGCACATTGCCTTCACAGAAATTAAAGGCTTCCCAGTCCAGTCTTTCATTTTTTACCTTATGCTATAAAATTAGTATGGAGTTATTTAAAATGAGTGGAAAAATTCCAGAAATGCCCCTTCACTACTATCTATCTTGGTGGTGGAGATGTAAATATTTGTATCAGGGACACTATGAAGCAGTGATGTAGAAGAGAGCTAGGCTGTATGTGTTGGCATAATGTCCAACCATGCACAGGCGTTTCCATGTCCTAGTTTAAAACCTGGATTACATTTTAATTTTTCAAAAGTCTAGGAATGCTTTGAAAGTTTAGAAATAAGCATTTTTCTTTTGGGAAGTCTTCTTTCCCTTTTTTTCTTTTTTTTTTTTTCCCAACTCTTTCAGAGTTCTGATATTGGCTATGGGAGAGCAGGGGCAGAATGGAGATGGATCAATAAAAAACCTCATAGAGCATCATAGGGGAAGCCTGTTAAATAGGGAGTGTGTTGTGGCAGGACTCCACAATCAAGCAGTCTAAGAATTTACATGTAAAAGTACAGCGGTTTAAATTACTGAGCTCAATATGGTTAATTGGCTAGCAACCATGAAATCATATAGTGACATTTTTACATTAAATTTTCAAACCAGAATACTGATTCACATACCTTAAAGTAATTCTGTATGTAACACACAACTTGACCATTTTCTCCCTGCTTTCTTGGAGATGAATAATAGCATACTGAAAGTGATTTTTACATTTTGTGTAAGTTAAAAACCCTTAACAAAATCTTCTTTTGCTTCTATATGACTAGACTTGTATCATCTTTGAAAAGTCACTCACACTTAGACCATGGGTGCTGAGAGTAAGTACGGAGATTTTAGAAGACCAGTAAACTTACTCATAATTACCCTTCCAAAAGGTTTTAGATTTGAAACCAGCATTAGCCAAACCAAAAACATAATCAGGCTAGACACTTTCCACTTCAAATCTGAGGAAATTAATATTTTCTAGTGCATGATTTTATTTATTTATTAAACAGTCTTTAGTACAAAGGTATTTCTACAAATTTAATCAAAAGGGCCTAGCTCTAAAGCCAGAACAACTGATGTGCCACATTTGTTGTACAGATGCAAATCAATTAATTTTCAATAGACATGATGGATATTTTGCTTTATAGAGTTCCTCTAGAGTTGTCATATAGGTCTGGGTCAAAAAAATGGAAAACAGGAAACACATAATGGACAAGTGAAAAACTTTCCATGTGTATGTCTGGAAAAAAATCAATTCCACCAGCTGTATCTGCCTATTTTTATACTAAATACAGCACAAGAATGAGAACAGAACACAGCCAGCAAATCTCTTTTTTTTTTTTTTTTCTTTTGGAAGAAGTGATGGCTCCTTCCTCCTGCTTGTTTTGATTTGTAAATGACAGCTTTTCCCAAAATATGGTGCTGTGGCAATGCCTAATGAAGGTTCCTGCTCATCTGGAAAGGATTGTAGCAAGTGTATATTTTTTTTTCCTTCTTTCCTGTTCGATACAGAAAGGAGAGGTCCTTCATGTCAAATAGTCATATCAATTTATGTATGTAGCAGAGTGCATCTTGGCATATTGCTGATTCCTCAAGTAACAACGATGTACATCATACAAAAGGAAACAGCAAAAGATTTTAAGTATACTTTCATTCAAGTAAATAAATGCCTACTCTTTTGTCACAGCACTAAATCATTACAGCTTTATTTTCCTTTTGCTCTTTGTCACATAGCCAGAATAGAATATTTGCTTATATAATTAACTACTGCTAATACAAAACAATCATGGCCTTATACCTGTAGAAATAAAATAAACTATAAGAGGTCAGAAACTTGTTCTTCCATAGTAGGTGTGCTTTGCTTCCTGTCATACCATGTTACCACTCTGCAATGGTGTATTTTAGTCAAAAGCATTTCTTACCTAAAAAATGGGTTCTTTAAATCAAGAATGTTACCAGATTTGAATCCTGTCTGGTCCACCATAGCCACAATCTCAATATCATAACTTTGTCTGTATCAGAAAGAGAAGACTAAAAGACAGAGGTAATGGAACAAAAACAACTATAACATGCTGTGTGAAAAAAACACTAGTGTAGTTACTGTCTGTGCAATAACCACTTCATATAATAAGCAAAGGAAATTTATTTGCAGTGGTATCAGTGCAAGGCCATGATTATTTCGTAATTTCAAAAGAAGTAAAATTTACAAGATGCTTAAGAGATTTTAAGCACTTTTATATGAAAAACACCATAATCACTGATAGGATTCAATAGTGAAGGGTCTTTTTCCTCCTCTCTGACAGAAATATTATAAATTTCAACATTAAAAAGTAGAAGCAGTATTATTTCACCATCAAAAATATCCAACTGGCCAAACAGCATTAGGTTTATTCTTTTCATAAACATGGATTTCAGCATGCAGGAAAGATATTTTTTCACAGGACTTTTTGCAACAAACTGAGTTTACACAGAAAAGTAAGGAGGAAAAACTGAGAATGCTGAAGGTGATCAAAGCTGGTCCTCTAGCAGAGCACAGCAACTGCAGAGTTACAGAGAGATGCTATGTTGATCCTGAAAGCAGAGCACCTTTGGTGACAGGATTTCTTAGCTCAGTGCTAACACATGGTTAAAATGCTTCTCATTCTCAGTCTAGCAAGGTTGCTGGCTCTGAGCCATGCTCCATTGTAGATATACCTTATGTATTCACATGTACAGGAGTAGCTGTGTGATCAATTTATGGCATGCAGTGTTTCTTTTATATATTAAAATATAAAAACATTTTATGTTTGAAAGAGACATATTAAGTTCTGTGTTACTATTTGATCCATGAGGAGTTTCAAAGCAGATCTGGAAATTTGACAAGTCCCATATCAAGTGTATTTTGCTGGTGTGCTTAAAAAGCCCAGGTAGTGTTACAGGAATCACCCGACTGGTCAGCACATTGCCCAAAAAAAAAAAAAAAATCACCTTCCCACACCAAGAAGGCTTTGTTTTCTGTTCAAACTACAGATACACATAATCAAACCAGGCTGAAATTTGTATGACCCAGTCACTTGAGCATTGTTTTAAAAACTAAGCATAGACATGGAGTTACCAAATATTTGACTGACAGTAGGAACAGCAGAGAAGTCTAATGAGAAAATATGCCCTTCCAAAAGCATCTTCATTAGCCATAGTGGAAGGTCAAACAACACATGAGAAAGATATGCTCCCCTTGAAGAGGGGAGTATGTCCACAAGGATTTTTTTTTTTTTTTTTTTTTTTTCAGAATTAAAAACTGTAATGGATTTGGGATCAACCTCACTTCTCCTTATCTCTGCACAGGAGTTGCTGAGAGACAAAGGATTTTGGAGCTTCAGGCAAACAATCTGTTTTCTGATGAAGACATGGCCAGAGGTTACACTAGCAGAACAAAGTGTGGAAAATGACTGGACATGACCTGAAAAAAACTGCTGTATATGAAAGACAGTGGAGCAGAAGGCTGACAAAAGCTGCAAGTAGCACTGTAAGGGAAGGCAGGATATGACAGGTGGTTAAGGAGAAGGCATGTGAGAAGGAACATCACAGATGGCTGGAGTGGAACATGGAGACCTTTGGTGACCAGTCTTACAAGGGCAACTATGTATCAGAGATAAGATATAAATTAGTAATTGTACCAGAAATAACAAATGTGAAATGAGCTGGTGTCTTTTGGGTACCTCTAACAAGAGCAGCCACACTACAAAATCTGCTTGGGAAGCTTTTACACTTACCACTCATTGGCAACAAATAAGGCTTTCCCTGAGAGAGTTTCCCCCTCTTTAGCAAAGAGGGGCGTCTGGAGAAGGCAGCGTACTTGATACCAGTGAGTGAGAGGTTCTGACGGTGCAGTGGACAACCAAACAGTTACCCTAAAACAAACCAGAAAAACTATCTAGACATTCTATTGTCTTCTCCTTTCAGAAACAATTTTAAGTTGTTACACCTTTATGTATTTGAGGCCTCAGCTGCTTATAATAAACTTTAAACTGCCTTCAAGTAAACTGCAAGAGTGATTCTGCTGTCTGCTGGGAAATAAATATATAATGCCTCATTTTCTTTCTTCGCCTATACTCTCTGCCTGTCACCACCAGCTCTGTGTGCCTAAGCCAGTTATGAAGATTCAAAACAAACCCCAAAACCCTCTTCAGACTCCTATTTTCTTTCCACACTGCCAGGCCACAGTATACTAATTTCTCTCTCCTCTTACCACTCAGACAATTTCAACAAATTACAGCAAACAAAGGTTTGTCCTGAATGTGGCAATGCAATTCTTTACAATGGTAGTTGCATCCTTAAACAACACTCTCCAAGAAGGTCCTATGCGTAGTTTATTTCCATAATATATTGAAAGGGATGTAGATGCATAGAAAGGGTTAATACATGTAATACTGCAAGACCAATCCACTGAGATTTCTAGTGCTAACACAAAGAGCTTCCAGAGTTGTAGCAATCGCCTACTCCAAAATGGAGGCATTCTTAGTAGAGGATTTCAGTCAGTTCCTACAAGTCTGCAGTTTTCTCTAGTGTTGTAATTGATGTGGAGTTTCTGTTTCCTTTCTTAAGATTAAAAATTTTACTATGAGCTGTTAAAAGTAAATACAAATGCATGTGTCCATTTTCTTTTAACGGATATACCATTCTAAATTCTTGATGATCCTTGTTTCAAAGGCTAATAAAAGGCATTTATCAATTTATAGAGAGTGCATTTTACAGTTTATTGGGAAAAAAAAAAAATCACCCCCTCTAAAACTAGATCAATTTAACTTGGTAATCAACAAAACACATCTAAGAGCAAAATATAGATAGCTGAAATCTATGTACTGATTACCTAAGCAGGTTTATCTAATTTTCACCTACTTACTGTACCAGATCAATGTCCCCAGTTTGAAATAAATGCATCGAAAAAAATTTCCCAAGCCTGGTGAAATTTTCCCCATTTCCATCTTGTCAGTTGGAACTTGAACCTGCTCTGCTTTTTAACCACAAACAAGACAAACCTATATGGGAAAATCCAGCTTCTTGTTCAAATTCTGCTGCTTTGCTTACAATGTAAAACAAAAAGGTATATAATAGTACAAAGGGTCAGTGGAATACTGTCTTTTGATCCTCAGCAATTCCTGGATGTGGTCTACTATAGGTAGTGTGCACCCCAGTCAACAGGAAGCAAGACCACCACCATCTGGTCATGCTGCTAGCACTTCTTGTTACCTCTAGAAAGCATAATTTCTTTTAAGACAAAGGAATTACATTACAAACAAGGTCAGCACCACACAAAAGTCTAATTCTGGCACACTTTGTATGGAAGACATGATTTGTCCCCTATAGTCAGTATTTTGCAGGAAGAAAGCAAAAGTACTTACAGTGATCCTACAAATGCCACATCAAACCAGAAGGCCAGGCCATGGATTAGTCCAGATTGCTTAATTTCAAAAACAAAAGGGATTTCCACTCTGCAGGAGAAAAAACAATATGCTGCCAAAGTAACTTCCAAAAAGTACTGGAAATTCCACCAGAAACCTACCTTGTACTAATTTATATATTTCCATTCTTATTCATCAGCTTATGTCTTGATTTTCCATATGTTTAAAAAGTTATGCTCTTTTCTGTGTGTGTGTCAATAGAATTAACCAATGGCACTCATTTAGACATCAGTTTTTTGTGTGCCTTATTCAATAACAGAATCAAATATGCCACTACACAAGTGTTACTTTATCATTGGTGGCAACACTGCAGACTGTTATAAATAAAAAAGAACTTCCAAAAGAACTGTACCGCCTATGTAGCTGAACCCAAATCTCACCCACTCTTGCAGAAACATGTCAGAAAATTAGCATTCAAGTCTGAACACATTCTGAGAACCACTGAAGGAAGTCAGCACTAGCCAACTAAAACTGGAAAGCAGTTCTTCAGCTGTTTCCCTGCTCTTAGAGCAATTCTTTCACACTAAACCATGGTATTTATACAATTAATTGTGAGTCCTGTTGAAATAAAAAGGGTTCAGAGTTTCAGAGCAGTCTGTGATATTTTCCTCATATGTCAGTGTCTTGCAGTGACTTGAAGCACTCCCTCAAGTTCTGTCATATGGTACACGTTATTTCAGAGATGTACTGAGAAGAAGGCTTCTCTGCTGCCATCCTGGGACACAAGGGATGCAGGCTGGCTCCAACTAATGATTTGAAGGACCTCTGGAGGAAAATGAGGTAAAGCTGATTCCTGTTATACTGGAAAATATTTTTTAAAAAATAGATACACAAGAGTTCAGCAAGGCAGCTTGTGATAACACCATTTCACAAGGTCTTTTAGGATGTCTACACAGAAAAACAGAAATTGCCTTGCAGTTAGGTTTAAATGTGTCCCAACATACAAAGCTAAGAAGTAATCACTGTCTTCTAGAGTACATTTTATCCTTTTCAGTAGGAAAATTTTGAACAGGATTCTTTGCTAATACTAGACAAATCATCATGCAGATGAAGGCTCCAGTCCATTATGAGTGGTGTACTAATCATTCTGGAACACCAAGTTCCCTGCTGCACATCCACCACCAGAGCTTCCTCTGTCTCTGAGCACCAACAATCAACAGCCTGTTACAAAACTGAAAGATAAAGAGTAGGTTGCTGGCATCTGCTGACCTATGTAAATCTTCTTCAGCAGCTTCCATGAAGTTAATGGTGTACTTCACTGACCGGGCCATCAGAATTCTCACATCAAAAGCATCCTATGGGAATGGGAAAAAAAATAGTTGCAAGTGTCATCTTTCTGTCTTGTCAGTGTACAAACTTTCTTTGTGTTAAAAAAAATCTGAAAAAAAAGACAAAAATAAACCTTCACACCAATAGACTTATTCTAAATGCTTCAATTTTTTCAGCATCCCTTAAAACAGTTACATTTTGCACTATGATCAGGATTTAATATATTTGATAGCTTACATACCTATCAAAGACTGTTTTATTCAACCTACAAACAGTAAAATTTGTGCAAAAATTAATCACTTGTAAAAAAAAAAAAGGTGGGCTTATTTGACTCATTTATTTGTTTGTTGTTCTTAAACTACACACATTTTAATATTTCTTCTGTAAGCCACACTAAGACAGTATGTAAATACTTAAAAATCAAATTATGAATTATAGCAAACAAGATTACTTAATAAAGATTGCCCTTTAAAAAAAAAATTAGAAGTATTCAGTCAGCAAGTGAAAACTTTTCTCTTCATTTTCTTTAATCACAGATACTAATCCTAATCTATGACTCTTCGCATGATCTTTCATAAATAAAGCAAACTCTTAACATAAAGCCTTATGTCACATCCCCTCCCCTAGCCCATCTGTGAACTAAAATCTGTCTACAGAGTAAGGGGAAGCCAAGCAGATATGTGATACTTTAAAATAAATAAATTTATTGAGCAACGCATTTCTGATCTTCAAGGAAGGAAGCAGCTCAGCTGAGAAATCAAAGTTAGACATGCACTTTATACAGGATGCAAGTATATGTCACAGTCCTGCAGATTACTCCATTCTCTAACTGAAAGAAAAGAGCCAACACTGAGAATAGCCAGGCTGTAGTCAAAGATATGGCTCAAATTTACAAAGGTAAACGAGAGTTTTCCCTTATCCATTTCAAGTACCAAAAGCAGCAGAGTGCAGAAGGTCACATCAGTAGTCTGATGGTCTTTCCAGATTTCTGGACAGGTTGCAGGGTCTCTCTGCAACAGCAGCTACACTGCTTTCGCTACTCAAACTAGTTAGCCTAAAGCTAGCCAAGATGCAGTAAAATTTCTGATATCAAACCTTTTTTGTTGCATCTACGCTGAAGCATTATACTATGGCAGGGGTGAAGATTGTTTAGTTTTTTTCCTCAGAGATGTAAGAAGGATTTCTCCCACATTCTAACTAGGTACCACCTAGACTTTTACTGAAATGAAAGAAGGACAATGGCAAGTGCTAAAGCCAAGTTAACAATAAAATAAGGATATTTACATGTAAAAATTAAAAGGACGTTTCATAATACAAAAACCGGTTTGCTTAGCAGCTTTATCTTTCCCTTTAATTTGTGGATCAGAGATGGGAAGGGGAAAAGGTCAAGTCACTTGTTTAAGAGACTGGAAACACACCTACTGTTTAGAGCGAAACCAAGAATATTACATATAGTAGTTAACCTTTGACAGCAGCTCTGTTCACACCCACAGATTTAGTTGCTGTCCCTCAATTCAACAGCCACAGAGCTCTGTTAAACATGAAGGCTACTGTGCCTGTAGGATTTTGTTGAGGAGACAAATATAACTCCCAGAGAAATAACCCCCAGACATACCAACCTACCACAATGGGTTGTTGGAAATACTCATCCACAGCTGCACTGTGCAGACTGGACAGGTTCACCCCATAAAAGCATTCCTGGTACCTAGAAACAGTAACACATAAAACATTTAGGGAGAAATTATTTATCCTGGGTTCCAGCAGACCCAGGCACAGTAACTATAAATGTCAGGTGAAGTGTGGCTAAGCACCTCTTACCCTTTCTCCTGTCTGCCACGAAGCCCAATTGCAGCCCTCCTTAAAATATTTTACCTTCCTCAAAGACATCCTATACAGCACTGAGGTGACATGATCCCCTCAAATGGTCACACTATGCTTCTGAAAAAACCTACACAGCAAGCAGAAATAGGAAGAAGGGCTGAGGCACCTTTAAGTTACTTCTGTGATTTTGAACTATTCCAGAATTGAGGGTGGTTCCCCTCTACTGACATTAAAGAAGAAAATAAAGGTCCTCCTGTACCAACAGAATGGGGGAAAAACCCTAATATTTTTATTTTACCAATTTATGGAAATGTGCATTTAACATATATTCAGACTATTTCCAGTATGAAGCTTGAAACAAAAATATACATGCTTTCAGTAATCTTCCTCCTGTGTGTAAACCTATTACCAACTGACTGAAAAGTTTAATAGCTATCTTTATTTCCAGGTAACATAGAAAAAAAGGGGGTGGAAAGGGGAAACAGACAGGAAGCTCAGCTCCTTGTGATGCAAATGTCATCTAGATACAAAAACAGGGTCAAGCATTCAAAATCTTCAGATGCACTTAAAAAGGTCAAATGTAAATGTTTTTCTTCATTGTTACATCATACTACTTTACTGTAATTTTTCTAAACTGTAAAATTACTTTTTTAACTTATTTTTCAAACTTTCAAACTAAAAGTTACTTTTACTGTAATTTATTTCAAAGTGGATGAGTTAATCTAAACCAGTCTGGCAATATCCCTTTAATGCTGATAAATTCTGCATTTCTAGTTCTGTGCTAATCTTATAAAGTGAAAATGCCCAGGTGACTGTATGCCTTAAAAATATCTGAGAAGATATCTTTAAGGAAAGAACTTAAATAAGCACAACAGAAGAAATCAGCTGACGCCAGTAACTGCAAGGGATCTTTTAGCCTTTCCCATATGTTTGCTGTACTGTATGATTGAGTTGCTTATTTATCATCACTGATGAGAAACACAAACAAAATGCACACTACTTTTAACTACATGCTGTATATTTATGCTTCGCATCTTTCTATCTGAGCAAGGTTTTCACAAAGACAGCAGTCTGCTTTTCTATGGTGGACTATACATTATCATACTTCTAGGAATGATTACTGGTAAATACAAATTAATATGCAACTCTAAAGTGCAACAGTAAGCCAGTCTCTAGGATTGAAGAGAAACAAAACATACATATACAGTCTTATAATTATTATTACTGTACCAATCCAAAACAATAATTCTAAGTGTATGAGAAACATGTAGCCTTTCCTTTCTATGGCAAACAGGCTATGGCAACTGCTGCATCTAATGTTAGGATACATAGCATGATTTTTGCATAGGATTTTGAAGGTTCTTTTAGTCCTGATGCCTTTACTAGATTAAAGTTCAAATTGCAAATCTAGGTATTTCATTCAGCCATTTGCCTAAGTACTACCATCCAACTGGATCCAAAACCATGTCCGATCTCCCAGACACAGGCTATAGATTTAGTTAAATAGGAAAGGATTTATTACATACAAGACACATCTTTTGTTCCTCGTAACAAAGCTGGACTATGAATGAAAGCTGTTTCTTGAGGTGTGGAATCTGAAGCTTAGCAAATCACAGGCTGTCACCAACTACTTCCTTATGGTTGTCTTCAAACACCAAAAAAAGTTCTGAGGAAATGTTTTGTCTAAAATAGGACCTTTATAGCTCTGAATCTATCAGGATATCCAGAGTTTTAGGTATTAAGAACATGCATGTTCTAGAGTGGTGCAGAAGCAGAATTACCACACTGTCACTCAGAGCATTTTATCCCACATTTGGTTGAAGACATCAGAAGCACTAACCTGTTGGTCTTTAGAGCACTCAGTAACCTCAAGAGTATTTCGTCCTCTTGCATAGCCAATATCCTAGGCATACATCCATACAAAACTATAACTATGTGGACTGACAGGAGGACTGATACTACAGCACTCTGCTCAGGGGACATCTCAAGACAGCAATAAATAACATTGTAAGCACATGAACTGTTTTGTCTAGGAATATGTCAGACAGAATCTAATATACAAGGAATGTCATCAAGGGTAACTGTGTCAAAAATGGGAGACATCCTCTTGCAAATAAAGGTGCAAGAAAGACTGCAGTATGTTGCAGTTTAGATACCAAGCAGGTTACTGTCATAATTCCATAGTATTACTACAGTCCATGATATTATTATCAATGTCAGAAACATTCCTGGTGCAAAAAGAAATTAGTTACTAAAGCAGAATTGAAAAATTTGGTTTTCCCCTTTATGCAATTCTCTGAAAACCCTGTAGTGTTTGACAGATAATTCAGTTTATTAAGTATGTGCATGCTAGCTAGACACAGATGAATGTTTTTTTTTTTTTTTTTTTTTTTTTTTTTTTAGAATGCAGATGTGAAAACTTATCAGAAGTTACTTCTACCTTCTTTTTTGTTCAGTCTCTTAACATAAAAAATACTCTTTCAGTTTTGGTGGTTGTCAACATACAATGCAAACATTTCAAACTGGTTCAACCAGCACAGTGAGACAAAAGAGCACAAGCTAACTGTATAAAGCAACATTGCCAGCAAAGGATCCAGCATGTAAGTCACTCAGATTTCTCTCGCTCCTCTAATTGCTATAGGATTAGCATGATTTTATCATAGCTCTAGTTCAGAGACAGCCAAAGAAATCTAAGTATGAACAGTTATATCATAACCTAAAGAAAACTTTGTCTTTGAAAAACCAACAAAATGGTTTGACGAAGATCATTTAGTGTGGTCATTACAATAATAATTACCAAAAATTGGCTCTGGAGTAGTGTTCCATGTACAGCTGCTCATCAGAAAAAGGAGCCAAGTGAACGTCACTGTGTGTTGGGAACATAATTCCTAGTAAACAAAAGACAATATAATGTAAAGAGGAAGTTCAAGAAGTGTTTGGACAATGCTCTTAAATAGATGGTTTAATGTTAAGGTTGCCCTGCATGGAGCAAGGAGCTGGACTCAATGATCCTTGTGAGCCCCTTCCAACCCTGCATATTCTGTGATTCTACAGTCCCACAGACACCTTTACAGCAATGTCTTTGCTAGTGAGAAACCACCAGTTCATAAACGGCAATTGTCATACCCTTCAGACACCTTAACATTTAGCTTCATTAATACAGGGATTACTGAAATGTGGATATACTGAAGCAGTTAGTAAAAAACCCAATCTAGAACAACCTATAGAACAGACCAGAATACTTCATAAAGTCCTAATAATTTTGTGGTTCTATATCAAATATCTGAATTATTTAGCTTCCTTCTAATGAAGTGAAATGCTAGCTATTAAACTACCTTCTCAGCACTCTCCAGTGCAATTATAGCACCTTCCTTGCATATAGCTAACCTAATAAATATCACATCTGTGTAAAGGATTTCCATTAAAGCTCTGACTTGATCTTGAATTAAACTGATTAATATGGTTTGGGTCAAATTTGGAAAAACTGCTGTTAAAGAACAAAGTAGTTACATATGCAATTCTTAAGATTTTTATCCAGAAAACTCATAGCACCTCAGAGTAAATGCCGAAAATTTTACAAACACAAAAATGCATATTGTACTTTTTTTTGGTTGTTTGTTTTTTTTTTTTGTTTTACAGATGCTAAAGCTGAAAAACAGAATTTTATTTGCACAAAGTGGCACATCAGTAAAAGAGCAGGGAATGAAATCCTGCTCTGCTAGTTAGCAAGGACGTTTTTTTCATTAGGATCTCGCACTTTAATGATGTGGGAAATCAGACGAATTACCTTCCATTATTTTCTGTGGACAGGGCATCAGACTGCCTACCAGCTTAAATGAATGCCCTTATATTTTGGAAGCAGGAAAAAAAGCCTGGCCAATTTGAACTACACTTGAGCATACTTCTTCATCCTTTTTTAACCAGGTATAAAACACAATGCATAGCTGAAGGGAAGGACAGATAAAAGAGTTGAGGGAAAAGGAAACAGCTTTCCTTTTCTAAGTACACCTTGTAGGAAGAGTCTACAGAAACTTAAAAAAAGAATAACACTCACTCACAAAATAGCTATTTTTAAAAACTGGCTGTGGGGAGAATATTGACAAGTTCACAGAGAATTTGGGACAGAATGTTTCCAAACCTGACTGGTACTAAATATTAGCAACTTACTCAAAATGTCATAATTTCAACTCACTTCTTATGACAATCATTATGTTTAATAAACACTACCTAAGGTGATTTATCCCCGCTGTACAATTGAGCAATTAGAAAGTTATGCATGCATCTTTAAAAGCATTCACTCATTTACAACTGGAAATTACCTGCCTACTGATCAGTTTTCAGAAGGCCTCCTCCGAAACCAGGCCTGTAGAATCTAAATGGGAGACTTCAGAATAGTGGCTAGCTTGAAAAGCATTACCCACACGTGCTTTGCAGGTTTGGAAGAACTCAACAGCAAAGTCATCAGCTCCCTGCACTGATGCACAGGTTCAGCCCGTGCTTCAATAACTTTCATGCTGCAGTAATTTTACTTGAGAAAGTCTCTTTTAAGGAAGTCTTTTAAAGAGAGACTTCACAGTTCATTTTCAGCAGTTCATGCAGAAGGATATATCATTCAGCGATTGGACGCTCAGATCTGTCTCTCGCAGAAGCATCCCATGAGGCCCTGGAGCTTACATATTCCCTTCAAAACACCTTGAAACACAGGTGAGATGAAATACAGAGCACTGAATGCTGCGAATCTCTCACATGCCACTCAAAAGGCAACATGCAAATAACAGAGTAGGGTATTTGGGAGAAGCCAAGTGAAAAGATGTCAAAACAATTTGAACTTCACATTTTTCCCAAAGACAATATATTGGACTTTCTCCACAGAAAGACCCTTCACCCATTTGACCTTACTTGCAATCACAGTGTATATAGCACCAGGTTAAAATTAACACAGGCAGAAGTCAGTAGTGCATCAGTAGCTTAAGCAAAAGCTATTTCCAGTGTGAACAGCACTGTACAACAGCAATGCTGACTGCATCATTATATTAATTTCCCTGAGACCCTTAGGTGTTGGCTGTTGAGATGGAATGGGAGTATAAAACCAGACAATCCTGGGCTACCAATTAAATTCAAGTCTTTTTTTTTCTTCTTTCAGAAGCTTTTTCTCTTCCTGTGGCGACACACTCACCATTTGACTTCAACCATTTTTTGGAATGGAGGTAACTTTCCAACATCCTTTCATTGAACAGCATATAACCCATCGGTTCAGAAACTACCACATCAACACTCTCAGGCAAGGAGATCTCCTCAATTTTTCCAGACAGAACTGTGATCTTGTCAGAAAGGTTGTTGCTTCTCACCAACAGCTAGAGGAAAAGCAAAAGTGCATGGAAAGTGTTGACTCCTTTGATCAGCAGAATTTATATCAGAGTTCTTTAAAAAGCATTAAACCTCCTAGAGTGTAAAACAACTACCTCAGATTGTTAATCAGAATAAAATAGAAAAGTAATATATATTGCCTCACTACACCAAAATTTCTGAAGACTGGAGCTCACTGGAGCAAACTCAAATGTTTTGTGTGGAATCAGCAAATGAGAGTACAAGTACTGTTGTCCTGTAAGAGATAACTGTAATCAGTACCTACACCAAAAATAATTACCAAGAAAAGGTGGATATTTTTATTCAGTACAGATTACAAAGAAAGGGTATTCATCATTATCCAGATTTTAAAAAAATACTGGTTTTGAGTGAGCTGCATAGTCATGAAAGGATGAAGAAACTCGAGACTTGAAAAGTTACAGTGAGTAATTTCTAAGCATAAATGGAGCATAGCACTATATTCACATAAATGTATTCAGATAGGCCAGTACTTAAAGGCAGGATACTGGATCCTATCCACTTCTATGCTCACAGTGAACCTCAGAGAAAAATATGAAACAAACAGAAGAAATGGACCTAAAATATTATGTTTGATACAGGAAGTTATTAAGGAAAAGAAAAATATTTTTAAAGCTTCTATATATCTACACATAGATGTGTGTCCTATTTAGTTGCACTACACTCAGATATACAGGGAAATATCTAAACCTCTTCTATTTAAATAGGGAGTAGGATCCGGGTTCTTCTGGCACAAACTTATAAAGAAGCCATTGTTTCACACTAATCTAAGGTGTCTGTGGGGGTATTCTAAAAATTGAAACACCCTTTGCAAAAGCACAGTAGGAGTTTTATATTGATGTCCAGAGACACCAGGAAGAACAAATATACACAGTACAGTAATAGAAAACACTCTCTCACAGATGTGCGTGCACTGGTATAATTGTAACATCAATGGAAGTGCCTAATTACTTTAGCAAACCTTTTCTGAAACAGGCTGTTCCTTAGCTAAGAGCAATGAAATTTAGGACTCATGCTAACTAGAGAAAGAGCGACTAATGTTATTAGCTAATCTACTGAAATCTGAATATGCTGGAAGTTAGAGAAAAACAAACAAACAAACAAAACAACACCACCATAGAACAACTTATACAACAGGCTAAAATAATTCATAAATTCTAATAATTTTGTGGTCCTGTATCAAATATCTGAATTTAGCTTCCTTACAATGAAGTGAAATGCTAGCTATGAAATACTTTCTCAGGACTCTCCAGTGCAATTACAGAACCTTCTGTGCTTATAGGTAACCTAATAAATATAACTTCTGTGTAAAGGATTTTCATTCAAGCTTGAATGAGTGATATGGTTAATGTTTTTCAGCCATAAACTGCCAATGTAAACTAGAAGCTAATATGATAAATAAACCTACTAACCAAAACAAAAATCATTGCACACTAACATGCTATCAATTAGGTAAATAACATTGCTGCTTCTTTTACTGACAAGTGTTTGTATCCATTTCTAAGAACAGGTTGAAAAACTTTGCTTTAAAGGTCTTTTATAACAAAGACTACACAAGCAAACACATGATGTGATTTAATTTTGGAAACGAAATTACCATTTTGCTTACAGGAAAATTCTGAACCTAAAAATAACTCACTCTCAAATAACAGCTCTGCAGCAGCATAGATGTACAAAGACAAGAAGCCTAAATCATTTCAGACCCTCACAGACTGCGACAGTTAACTCGAACAGTTGGCTGAAGGGCAGCAGAATATTACAGCATCTTTATCACAAGCAGTGGAGATGCTTATATTATCAAAATTTTTACTTTTAGTGGCACAGACACAGCTAGAAAAGGAGTTTTGTTGCTATCCATTATCATTAATAATATTATACAACTTTTAAATAATTAATGTTTAGTTGATTTCATACCTTTAGATACAGTAAAAACAAACAAAATTCAAAGAAACATTGTCAATACTAATCCTCTCCTTTACAGTGTAAGTATGACTTGTGAAAACTTTAGTTCCCTGTGCTTTTTGCCTTCTGAAGCTTAACACTGATAGAAAATGTATTTTTAAAAGGGATTATTTTAGGAATTTTTTTTAATAGGAATTTTTTAGGAAGAAGATCACTTATCTTATGGCAGCTATTCTTTTGGTGCTTTTTACACCTGTTTAATTAGAGTTAACAGTTCATATCTAGCTGGATTGATGGTAATGATAAGCTATTTTTGAAAGTCTTAAATATATAAATTTTGCTATATTATCTTTTTAATTACAGAGATGATATTTCTGAAACTGCAATTTACCATGCATTGGCAAACTCTAATTAGAGGCTAATTCTCACATGAACAGAAGCAAAAATCGGTAAATTGACATTAAATACTGGAGAGCTACAGTCTTCCACAAATTCCACATATCTCTTCTGTACAAAAGGAAGCTTCTACAGAAATAACATAAATAATTTTCAACAGATACAGAACACAAGTTTATTATGTCACATGCACAGAAAATATTGTTAACTTCTACTCCTAGGCAATATTAGTCCAAACCTGATATTTAAAAATAAATAAATACAACATTTTGAGGATGCTATAAACTTATCAGCTATAAACTAATTCTTTGTCATAACTACCTCTGTATTGTTTGAACTGACCTTATTTTTGGCAAGATTATTAAATTAATTCACCCTCTGCAGCATCTTCATGAACTGAGAGTTTAAAACATAGAAAATTATTTCTGTCATCACCAATACAACCTTGCTTCTCAGGCAGGAATATTTGCCATGCCATTTGAAAGATATGCCTTAGACTATGTCTTCATCTCTTATGCAGAAACTCACCACACATCTCTTCATCTTGACAGCTTGATGTTTTTACGAATCTAAATTGAAGCTTCTTTTTTAAATAGTAGCAACTTTTGTGCCTTTAAAAAAAAATCTTATTGGCAAATGAAGAACAAGTAGCTAAGTGTGGTGGCAGTAGAGCTTTTTGACTCAGTGCCTTTGGGAATCAGTAGCAAAACTAAGACAAAAGAAGAGGAGGTGTATATGAGTGGGTGTGTTGACAGTGTTTTCATCTCCCACAAAGTTTTTAGTAAATTCCTGCAATTCCCAGCTTATGGTCAGCACAATGTGCTTGAATAAAAGCAATGAAGTAGTTTCCATATTTTGTAGCTTTAGTGAAAAAAAAAAAAAAAAAAACAAACCAGGAAAAAAGAAAATTCCACCCAGTACCTTGAGTGGAATGACTGAAAGGAATGTATTGTTTTCAACAGCCACTCTGTCTTATGATTTTTCCACATTTCAGAAGACTTTGGAAGCAGAGCAAGATTACCGCTATATTAAGGTTGTGTTTTGGTAGCAGGTAAGCGGTATTGGTGTGGCTCCTGTAAGAAGCTCCATGAATCTCCCCTGGCTCCAAGTCAGGCCCACCTCTGGCCAAGGCCAAGCCAATCAGCACCTCTGTGACAACACCTTTAAGAGGGGAAAACCACATAGACGTCAGTGAGGAGGGAGAGGCACAGTGGAGTAGCCATTGCTCTTCAGCCCGTGGTGAGATGGCAGCCTGAGCCCCTGCAGCCTTTAGAGATCAATCCTGTCTGCATCCCATGGAGCTCCCCACCCTGAAGCAAAGGACTGCTCCCAAAGAAGTCTGTGACTCTGGGGGAGACCTGTGCTACAGCAGTACTGGAGCAATCTGTCCTGGTGAGGATTGAAGCCTGCGGGAGACACCCACGCTGGTTGGAGAAGTTCATGAAGGACTGTCTCCCATGGGATCTATGCCACATTGCTTCAGGGGAGGACTGTGAGGAATATTCCTCCTGAGGAGGAAGGAGCAGCAGAAACCACATGCAATGGACTGTGACTAACCACAACCCTCATTCCCTGCCCCTCCTGCACTGCTGGTGGGAAGGGGGTAGCAGAGCTGTGCCCTGGAAGAGGGAATGGGAGGGGGGAAGATCTACTCTGCTCTGGTGAGACCCCACCTGGAGTACTACATCCACATTTGGAGCCCCCATTACAAGAGGGATGTGGACCTGCTGGAGCGTGTCCAGAGAAAGGCCAACAGAATGATCCGAG